CAGTGCCACCCTCGAGAACATCATGCGATGACTGGAATGGGAAGGAATGGGAGTGAAGATAGATGGTCGGCAACTACACCACCTCCACTTTGCTGATGACATTGTTTTAATAACACCAAACATCAGCCAAGCGGCACAAATGCTGGCTGACTTTGACCGTGAGTGTGGAAAGGTAGGACTACAGCTGAATCTTATGAAGACAATGTTTATGAGAAACAGCCTCGTTCCTGACGCCCCATTAGCTCTCAATGGAATGACCATCTCCGAATGCAACAGCTATGTCTACCTAGGTCGAGAGGTCAACATGACAAATGACCTGGCACCCGAGCTGTGCAGGAGGAAGAGAGCAGCTTGGAACGCCTTCAAGAACGTCGAAGAAATAGCTAAGAGGACGAAGAACCTCCGGCTCCGGGCACATCTCTTTGATTCCACTGTTCTTCCTGCATTAACATATGCCTCAGAGACCTGGACCCTACGCAAACAAGATGAAAACGCTATTCAGGTCTCCCAAAGAAGAATAGAAAGAGCTATACTTGGAATATCACGTTTCACTCAAATGAGAGAAAGAATCCGGAGTTCTGACATCCGTCGACGATCAAGAATCAGGGACGCTGTCTCATTTGCCAAGGTGTCGAAAATCAGATGGGCTGGTCACGTAATGAGATTTAAAGACGACCGCTGGACTAGAGCTGTTACCGACTGGATTCCACGGGATGTCAAAAGACCGCATGGCCGCCCACCTACCAGATGGTCAGACTTCTCCGTCAAGATCATGAATGATCGGTTTGAGGCCCTTCATGTTCCCAGAGCGAACAGATGCCATTGGGCTACACTAGCACGCGACAGGGACAAATGGAGATGTTACTGGCGCCCACTCGAGCAAATCGATGACTAACGGGAAGTTAAGTGATTAAGTGATAAGTATCATTCAAATCTGAAAGCTAATCAGCTGCTAAGAGTGTTCTTGGTAACGTGCTCATTTTATTGAGTATTTGTACTATATTTGTCCATACTCCTCTGCTTTATAGAACCTCATTTGGTAGATATGCTGGGCTTTTCTTTTTTGTATAAGTTTATTTTCTTGCGACTTTTAGTATTCTATCTTTGGATATTTTTGTTTTGAGTTTACTTGAGTCTTTTTCCCTCTAGAACCTTTCTGCCTCTTGGATCTTGTTTCCTCTATTCCTCAACTCTCAGATATTCTTCTTCTTATTTTTTTTTTTATGTAGGAGTACTGCTATTTATTCAGCCACTGATTGAATTGGACATGAACTCCACCTTACATTTTTTTTCCATTTTTCATAATTTTATTTATTGAATCACTGTGAGAGCAGTTACAAAGCTTTTGGGTCTATGTCTCGGTCATACAATGAAACACCCGTACCTTCACCAGTGCCCATTCTCCACCCCCAAAACCCCAGTTTACCCCCATCCTGCACCCTCCCCCTACCTGTGGGACAGATGATTTTCATATTACTCTCTCTCTACTTTGATCACATTCAATATTTTGACACCAGACCTATCATTATTTGGGATTTTAGCCCAACACTCAGATCTGCTGAAAAGGCAACAGTTGACAATTTGTTTTCTATTGCTGATTATCAGTAACATATGATGTCGTGTGGCTGCAGTAGTTGCTGCGTGATTTTGAAATTCCGAAATTTTAACAATTAAATCTGGTGGGATTTCTGCCAAAACCTGCTGGGTTCTGAGATTTGTTGCTGAGTCTCTTGGATCATGGCTGTTAAGCAACTTGATCAGGAGCCAGAAAGGCCATTCGTGGGTGGCGACTCGGGATCTCATTGGGACGGGGAGGAAAGGGCCGGCTCCACCCCCAGCCTGTGAGGCCCCGCGTGTCTCATCACTGAGTGCCCAAACCTGACTGTCCAGTGGCCTCTGGAGGATGGCAGCCACTGAACCGCCTAGGGGGAGCAGGTGGAGGGACAGCACCCTTTCCCACCCTGGAATGGCCTGGTGACAGTAACCTACTGAGGAGTCTGGATGCATTTCTGCCAAAAGCCACTGGGTTCCAAGATTTGTTTCTGAGTCTCTGGGATCATGATCATTAAGCAGCTTGATCAGGAGCCATAGAGGCCATTTGTGGGCGGCGACTCAGGGTCTTGTTGGGATAGGGAGGAAAGGGTCGGCTCCACCCCCATCCCTTGAAGCTCTGCATGTCTCATCACTGCAGGCCCAAACCTGACTGTCCAGTGGCCTCTGGAGGCAGCGGCCACTGAGCTGCCAGGGGGAATAAGCCAAGGCATGAAACCTATTCCCACCTGGGGTGGACAGTGCCTGTAACCTACTGCATGGACTGGATGTATTTCTGCTAAAAGCTGCTGGGTTTTGAGATTTGTTTCTGAGTCTCTGGGATCATGACCATTAAGCAGCTTGATCAGGAACCAGAGAGGCCGTTCATGGGCAGCGACTCGGGGTCCCACTGGGACGAGGAGGAAAGGACCTGCTCCACTCCATCCTGTGAGGCCCCATGTGTCTCGTCATTGTGGGCCCAGACCTGACTGTCCAGTGGTCTCTGGAGGATGGCGGCCACTGGACCTCCAGGGGGAACAAGCCAAGGCATGAAACCTATTCCCACCCGTGTGGCCCAGCGCCTGTAACCTACTGCAGGGACTGGACGCATTTCTGCTAAAAGCTGTTGGGTTTTGAGATTTGTTTCTTAGTCTCTAGGATCCTGGCCATTAAGCAGTCTGATCAGGAACCAAGAGAGGCCATACCTCCAATTATACAGCTGAGCCAAAGGTGGTTTGTGGGTGTGTCTCCCACATACCTAACTTTGGCTGTTTGCTTTCTTGGTAAACTTTGCCCCAAGTTTTTGGGGTCTGGCCAAAGGCACAGCATCAATTTTGGGGTATCTGGAAGTCTGAAGGCTCCATCAGGCTGCTGGTGCACGCACCTCACAGGTACAGATTGCTGGCAGCACACCATACCCCCAACAGAAATTCTTATTGATTAGTTCTTTAACTATTGTTGCTTCATCACATTTGCCTTCTTGTTCTTTAGGGACTCGAGTGGTTCTTCTGTTGTTCCTCTTGAACTCATACCATAGTTCAGCACTATGCCGTTCATTTCTTTTCAAACGGTTTTCCAATTTTACTTGTTTCTTAGCAGTTTCATCCTTCTTCTATTGGAGCTTCTTGATTTTTTGCTTAGCTTCTGCTATTCTGCTGTTCAGAGCGTCTCTATTTTATATCACATACCATGTTCTGTCATTTCCGATTGTAGTCATTTTCACAATTTAACTCATACTCTCGTGCTTTGCTGACTACATGTGCCACTATTTCTTTGAGCTAATTAAACACCCTCATTATGGTGTCACTGAAGTCATTGTCTGAGGATTTACTGATTTGGTTGATGTCGTTTATGTCTGCAGTGATATTTCCCCACTCCTAATTCCTTGGTCTTCTTTGTATTTGCCCCATTCGTTTTCTAGTTTCTACTGTGTTGGGGGGTGACTCTTTGTAGTCAGGCCCTGTGGGAAATGCTGAGGTATTAGGCTGGGGTTGCTCTCTTTCTTCTCCGCCTGCATTCACCAGATGACAGGAAGTATAACTCTGAGAAGCCTGCAATTTGTTGAGAAGATCTGTTGCAGGGTTGTGTATGTGGCTGAGTGCTTCAGGAGCTGTAGTGTGGGGCCCTTAATATGGTGCCTGTTGGCTAGAGGCTGCTGGAACCCAGCTGGAAGGGAAGGGCTCTCTCTCTCATTGCAGAGTAAGCCAAGTGATATCAGCTGGAGACCAGCCTCCCCTGGAGTGGCCTGTAACAGAAATATTTAAAGATGTAAGATAGCTTGCTTAAGTTCACATAGTAATTTGTGAAGCCAAGATTTGAACTAAGACGATCAATCTCCAGGACATAAACTTTTAGTTACACTTGCCATAACACTGCTTAATAATAATAACCGAAAATTCAGATGTCTCTGCAGCAGTTCTGTTTTTCCTGGATATCATAGCTGATGAAGGAATGGGGTACAGAGGAACTTTTTGGAGAGTATAATGAGATAGTGGGTTCTGGTGTGAGTCTATTAGGAACTCTGTGGTAACTGACAGTTCACTTAATTGTCCAGCAGTTCCAGTTCTATCAATGACTACCTGGTGGAGTCATTATGAGAAATGGATTCTTAGGTAAATCATACAGGATTGAGCTTAAAAATCTATAGTCGTATTTACCTTTTATATAGCATATGTATTGGTATATGGCTGTTTTATTATTATTTTTACTGTTAAAGTAATTAAAGTATTATTTTTACTGTTAAAGTAATTGAGTTGTTCATTTTCAATATTTTATTTGCTTTTTGATAGTTTTTAGAAGGACAGTTTCTCTTTGGAATGATGCCTATATTCCTGATATGTTACTTGAATCCCTTATTAGTTCTAATAGTTAAAAAAATTAATCCTTGGGTTCTCAAATAATGAATTATGAGTTTCTCTACAGTCCTTTGTTGCTGTTTTATTTTTTCTGTGTAGAGCACAGATGTAAGGTATTTAAAAACCTTCCCCAGTAGTGTTTGTGAATGTGTCTAAAAGTTACTAATTTATATATTTATGCATGTGGATCAGTGATATAGCTCACCAAATATATTGATATATTTGAGCAGTTTACAAAAAAGATACTTCCTGTTTAACGATTTTTTACTAATTTAGTGTTTAATATTAAAAAAGGAGTTTTTAAACATTAATTTATTTAAAATAATTGATATGTAAAGGACAGGATGAATTATGGTGTAATCTCCCCAATTTTCTTTCTGCTGTTTCCCCCTTCTGTATTTGAGCTAGTGAAAGTTTATTCTGTTTGTAGTAAGTTATTTTTTCCTTGTAGTACTTAAGGGTTTTCATGAATATTCATGTTCTTCTTCTGTACATTTTAGTGTATTTGATGAATGGATAGTGTATATCTAAAAATGTTGGTATTCATTTGAAATGAAATTTTCAATTCAAATATTTGAAAGGGAAATTTCAAGAGCACTCTATATTTATGTGCAGGAAGCAGGAGTATGTAAGCTACGTTGTGGTGTTTCTTAATTTGGATTCATTCGATGGCTACTTGACTTGCCTGCGGGAGGACTCTCTGCTCTTATAGTTCCTGTCACTGGTAAGTTGTAAGATGCGTTTTTGTACAATAATGTCTCTTAGTATAGTGAAACAAGAGATGTGTTCTGTGAAAATGTTAGGCATCATTTTTCTAAATTATTTAATTACTATATGATAAATAAAAGAAGACCCATCACTTGAGCCCTAACAGTCACAAATCACAAATCATCCTGTTATTCGTCGATTGCCTCGAGCAGGCCCCAGTAACGTCTCCTTCATCCTAGCCCTGAGATTATATTCAAGGCTCTTTAGGAGAATGAGACCCATCATTGTTACTGGTATTTGGCATATTGGGTACGCCACGCGGAGTTTGCCAGACTCTGCCGTAACTTATTAACACTAGGAGCCCTAACAGTAACACTGTGAAATGTACTTAGTGCCCCTTGTCCCAAGCTTTGTATTGGGCATGACCAACAGAGGGAGGACTGCACTTCAAGACTGTCAGTGGCTCTGAAGCCGTGCAGTAAAACCATGCACCATGTGAAGTGTTTGTGAAGTGTTTATCTGCCGTGGATCATGACCTTCTTGTCCTGTTGTAGAATAACACTGCCACAGGGAGCTCAGGTTTATTGGGTTACACCCATCACAGTGCTCCCAAGTCACTCCTATTCCTCTATTTATCTATAAACTCTTCTCCCGAGCCAGTTAATCACCTTTTCTCCCTAATCAGGTTCTGTTAGCTTGTAAGATCAGATCCTTCTAAGGACACTGAACTTGTAAATTATGTCTTTTGCATAGTTTACCTTAAAGCAATGTCCTTTCTGTATGGACACAGGAAGACAGTTAATATTATACTTTGTAACTTGGAAGTTGATTGACTCCGAATAATATTTACTGCTGGGCATCTGCTTTCTTGACTCAGTTGCCCTTAGTTCCTAGCACCCCAAAAGCAGGGTCCCGACGAGGGACTGAATGGATCCAGGGCAAGCTGTGAGCTACCCTGGCATCAAAATGGGCCAGGCCAAAGTGCCACGATACTCAACTATAAGTTGAGGGCATGATCATGGACAAATGCTGTCATGATCCAAAAGTAAGTAACGATGAGACTAGGACCCTGCTGGGGCTAGGAAGACTAACCTGGCCTGAGGACTGTAATATATATATAGGGCTGGAGCGATAGCACAGCGGTAGGGCGTTTGCCTTGCATGCAGCCAACATGGCCGACCCGAGTTCAACTCCTCCGCCCCTCTCGGGGAGCCCGGCAAGCTACCGAGAGTATCTCGCCCGCAAAGCAGGGCCTGGCAAGCTCCCCGTGACGTATTCGATATGCCAAACACAGTAACAACAAAGTCTCCAGTGGAGACGTTACTGGGCCCACTCGAGTAAATCGATGATCAACGGGAGGGCCTTTACTTTAATATATATATATATATATATATATATATATATCTTGAGATTTCCTCAGGAAGAACCAAAGTTTATCTCTTACTGTGCTCATGCAGAATGACATTGCTAGAAATATTAGAAGTAGACTTACTACAACTATTTAACTAGATTACTAGCTGAGGAAAGAACACACCCTTGTTGGGATCCCACCCTTGAGCAGATCTCCTAGTGATCTGAAATAAATCTCTTTAGATGAGATTTAATTCTTGAGCTAATTTCCTCGAGGAGTGGTCTTACCTCTCTTTGCTAATTTGTTAATGTTCAACCCACCTTTGTGTCACCACCCTACGTGATTGCTCTATAAACTAAGACTGTAAGCTCGAAGGGGGCTGGGGCTCGAGAGAGCAGAGACTGAGGCTCAGGCTGAGGCTCGGGCAGAGGCTCAATATTGGAATAAACTACAATTGATACCGAACAGCCTGGCCCTCGTTCATTGCTTTGCCTGCCCATCGCCATCGACCTCCCTGGGGTGGGGGAAACGGCTCGAGATTACCGAATGCAGGTGGCGGGAGAGATAGGGCGCTGGACCTTCAGAAAACACACGCCCTGTGACTGTGCAAATCAAATAATACTTAGGAAATTCATAGAAATTAGGAGTTGCATGTAAATTTAAATGTGAATTTATGAAGATGCAGCAAGCTATCAAACTTAGTAACTTTCAACTATTCCTAGGAAATTGTTTTAAATAGTAAATTGAAACAGACCAAGAGGGCTAGAAGCCTTGCAGTTTAGAAGGGGGAGGAACAAAGGAGACTTAGTAAAAATAGATCTTAAATAGCTCAAAGGGCTGGAGCTTATACTTTTCATGCAAAGGAGGCTCCACATTTGATAGATTCCTGGCACTTCATGGTCCCTAGAACATAGCCGAGCAGCATGGCAAAAGCTGTACCATATTGCTGCGCCTAACTCGAGTTCAGGTGCTGGCTGCTTGGAGGCTAAATAGTCAGAGATAAGAGTTGGTATAAGAGACATTTATTCAGGTTCTGTCAATCGTAGAAGATGGTGGAGTCATTGTCCTCAGATTCAGGTAATTGTTCATGTGGAACTGATGGGAAAGTAAGTTAGTAGAAAATTGTGGAAAAGTGGGTCAGTAGTCAGCAAGGAGTCTGATAAGTGCTAGGATTCTTTTTGGGGAGCCCGCTGTTGTCTCTGCTCCAAGGAGTGAGTAGTCTTTGGGCACTAGAAGCTTCAGAAGACTCGCAGAACACCTGGTGTTTGCTCTTTCTCCCTTCATCCGTCACTGGAAATGGTTCAACATTAAACACACAGTGTTTGAGAAAATCTTTTAAGATTGGGAGCAGGACAACAGCATGTGGCATTAAGTATGACACTCACTAATGGTGGATATGGTTGCCTACTAGATTTAGAAAGGCTTTTAAACATATAGCAATTAACTACCCAAACCTGACTTTTATTGATTTTTTTCTGATCATTTGCCATTCTTTTAAGATTTTTTTTGACTAAATAATATAAAATAGACTTGTTATATACCTGCCATGGGGGCAAAAAAGTTTTATTTATTACAGGGAAGATATAATGATTACTGCAATAAGATGCAGGTACAAAATAAAATTTAAGGCAATATATTTTAGATGCCAGAGTTGAACACTTAATTATGTAAATAAAAATAGGCAGTATACTGTATTGTATTAAATGATCTTATTTATGTAGTTTAAATCATACAACAATCAACAAATTGACTTTCCTTGATTTATTTTCTGATAATTCCATTTGCCATTCTTTGAATTTTATTGGAGCAAGCAGTATGAAATGAATTTGTCCCTGCCCCTGCACAGATTAGATGTGATGCTTTGTTAGTAACTATCAGAGGCTAGTTTTATTTTGGGGGGAATTAGAGGGGTTCTTTAAAGAGGTGTTCAAGATGCATGGAGACCTCTTCAATAATTTTTGCCCAACTGGGCCTGCAGTTCAACATTTATCCTGAAGACACAGTGCTACTTGGACTGAATGGTGCCAGGGATTACCCGGGACACCCTGTGATGCTCAGGGTCTGCAGTGCTTCACTGAGTGCTGAGGGACCATGGATGCTGGGGATACAACCAGGGTTGGCCACATGCAAGACAAGCACTTAACCCCTGGACTGACTTTCCAAAGCCTAGGATATGCATGTAAAGGTAAAAGGTAAAGGCCCTCCCGTTGTTCATCAATTTGCTCGAGCGGTCCCAGTATCGTCTCCATTGGAGATTTTGTTGTTACTGTGTTTGGCATATCGAATACATCATGGGTGGCTTGCCAGGCTCTGCCATGTGGGCGAGATACTCTCAGTAGCTTGCCGGGCTCTCCGAGAGGGGCGGAGGAATCGAACTCGGGTCGGCCATGTTGGCTGCGTGCAAGGCAAACGCCCTACCGCTGTGCTATCACTCCAGCCCTAATATAAATATATTATATATCTATATTGTTACTGTGGTGACTGGAGTGATCGCACAGCGGTGCAGCCAGCCTGGCTGAGCCGGATTCGACTCCTACCCTGTGCCTGACTGTCCCCACCAGGGCCCAACAGCTGAAGACCTCCAGGCCCCAGCCAAGGCCATGCTGGGACCACTCTCCACACACTTGGATGAGCCTCACGCATAAAAGAACTGGCAGAGGAACCCAGGTGTATGGGACCCGGGGCTGAGATCTCCAAGCCTGCACTGTTTGGGACTGGACCTGCCAGTAGCTAGACAGTTACACCCACCAACTGCAGTGTAAACCCAACAACAGCCAGGATCCAGAGATTATCACACTCAGCTCCCGGAAGTGCGTGACCACATGCGGCCGTGCAACATCTTATGATCTCATTCCTACTTTGGACAAATTGGCAGGCTACTGAATGAAACCTGCCCACATGGCAGAGTCTGGCAAACTCCCTGTGGTATACCCAATATGCCAGATACCAGTAACAGTGATGGGTCTCATTCTCCTAACCCTGAAAGAGCCTTGAATATGGCACTTAAAAAAAAAAAATCTCAGGGCTAGGATGAAGGAGACGTTAATGGGGCCTGCTCGAGGCAATTGACGAACAATAGGATGGTCGTGATCGTGATATATATATATATATATATATATATATATATATATATATGGCTGGAGTGATAGCACAGTGGTAGGGTGTTTGCCCTGCATGCAGCTGGCCTGGCTGATGCGGGTTCGATTCCTCTGCCCCTCTTTGAGAGCCCAGCAAGCTACCGAGAGTATCTTGATATGCCAAACACAGTAACAACAAGTCTCACAATGGAGACGTTACTGGGCCCACTCGAGCAAATGGATGAACAACGGGAGGACAGTGCTACAATTGTTAGTGTGTTTGGCATATCAAATATGTCACGGGTAGCTTGCAGGACTTTGCCATACGGGCGAGATATTCTCGGTAGCATAGCAGGTAGGGCGTTTGCCTTGCATGTGGCCAACCCGGGTTCAATTGACCCGGGTTCAATTCCTCCACCCCTCTCGGAGAGCCTGACAAGCTACCGAGAGTATCTCACCTGCACTGCAAAGCCTGGGAAGCTCCTGTGGCATATTCAGTATGCCAAACACAGTAACAACAAGTCTCACAATGGAGACATTACTGGGCCCACTTGAGCAAATTGATGAGCACGGGAGGACAGTGCTACA